AGGCATATGTGAGCCGCCAAACGCATGTTTCTTATAAATACATAAAATGGACATCTTTAAAACGTACCAAAATTAACATATTTTGTACGTCCAATAATGTACGTTCTTAAAACGTCCATATTAGGTCCATGGACGTTTGGACTAAATAAGAACATAAAATGGACGTCCATTGGACGTCGTGTGCTGTCTGGGTATATATAACACTAGCGTTTAATACTTATCCCCCCCCCCTCTCTCTCTCTCTCATTAGTTTTTCTCTATATTAAGAGAAGTTTAATAGAACTTTATTACGGAACAGCATTTATTAAGTATACATATACACTGTTAAAAAATTTTTTTAACTAAGTAAATAGATTGACTTAAAATTGTTTTTTTACTGAAGCAAATATTTATTCTATTTAAATAAAAATATCAATTTCAAGTAAATCTAGGTATTATATTGAGTAAATTAATTTAAATCATTACATTTTCTACATTTAAATAAATATTTCATGATATACACATAGAATATTATTTATTAAATGAAATAATGGTTTCTGTTAAATAAGAAATCCAATTCTCTTCGCTGTGAAAATTACATCTTATTAAACATTTTATATCCTTTTTTAAAAAGAGATGTTACCAGCGCGAATGTTGTTAAAATCGAACAGTTGAGGCCTTTTTTCCGCGATGCACATTGGTTTTCTCGAAACGCGGTGTGCTTCGCTCCTCTTTTAGATTTGTAGTAAATGAAGATTTGCAATTTAGAAATATACATTTGTATACACCCACTATTGAGGTAAAATCTCTAATCTTAGTAATTAAAATTTAAGTAACAACGATTTTTGTTCCGATACATTATCTCGATTGAACAGGATTAATCGTTTATTAAATCGATACTATAATAATCCGCAGAGTAATACACAAAAGTAGTAACAGTCACGGAACAAAAAAGGCAACGAATTCTCAACGTTCGTAGTTGTTTTTCTCCCGGCGCGGTGACGTACAATGTTTTTGCGTGCCTGAAGGTCGCCGCGCTCGCATTCGCTGGCATTCGCTCGCCGAACGTCGAGCCGGCAGGCAGTGGCGAGAGTCGCTCCGTGTGCGTGGTATTACTTTTGCGTTATCTGTTTTTGAGACTCGATCGCGATGAATGTAGGGATAAAACGCTATTGATTTGTACACTTTTATCAGTAACAAGTAACGTTCCTCAATTAATTATTAAGTTAAGTTATATTAAGTTTGAGTGATTTGTATGACAGAAAGTCACGCGATATTTGTTAATAATATTTCGTGCGTTTCGGCAGTATTTCACATCGCGTACGGGAGTGCCCGAAATTTCGCGCGATCGATGATTTTTGCGAGTGAGTGTTGGTGTGAGTGCAACAAGGAAATCTGAAAGGACGAGGAGGCTTGGGAGGCATCGGGCAACGGCGGAGAAATCGTAAGGTAAGTGTCTTACATTTTTATGTTATTTGCTTGTGCAAAAGCATCTGTTCTGCGTTTTTATTTTACGAGGCATGTTCAGAAAGTAAGTGTACTGATTTTCTCACGGGCGTAGGAATTTTTGTTGACAAAAGTGGTCACACTGCGTTGTAGTGGAAGCCCTCCCGATTCGAATGAGATGTGGAACAGCTCAGTACGACGAAAACTGTGGCCGTTATAGTAACTTGACGCGCAAAACATGTTTATACAATCAATTAAAATGTAAAAACGCGTCTGTCGCCGCGTGAATGATCCTGCGTACGGCGCCGTAAACACCTCGGCCGAAAACCGAGCGCGGATTCCAAGAAATGACGTAGCGCCGTGAACACCTCGGTCGAAAACAATCTATTGTGTCGAATCATTCGGCGCAGATCAGTTGAGCGAAACGGATGTTTCGGGTGTCTTCGCGTCGCTCCTTGTAACACGATCGTCTTGTTCGAGAGTTTTTTTATTTATCAATCGTGTTGAATTAATTGTCGCAATCGATACGATCGCCGCTCGCAATATAGTTCGAACCGTACGAAATATCTGTCGGTGACGATAATAAACCGACTATGGAAGGAGTTTTCTTCCTTTCTGATCTCTGGTCAAAATGACCAGACTGTATGGCCAGGAGCAACGAAAGGTAGGTCCCATCTAGCCCGACAAAGGAAGACTGAATACGATGAAATAAGTTGATTATACGTATAATTTATATTTGAGCGTTTTACTTTTTATTACATTGCCGTGTATAAGTTTTATGATAATGGCATGCATATTCAACGTAAACATCTGCGGAATGCGAAACGAAGAAGATTGGTTTTTGATTCATCTCGCTACGTCGATTTTTCGCCGAGTTATAGTGTTTTAAAAATCGGGCGCGCGCGCACCATTCATGAACGAAGGCCGCGCGAGTTTTTACGCGAGTAGTACGCGAGCGTACTATGTCCCCAAAAAACTGGCGTCAAAACATACGAGGCACAGGTGTTCGATAGTAAACACCGCCGTGCGAGACGCCGCATAAACGCGCCGTCTGCTGCTTCTGTCTCGGGA